AGGGGGCAGAGGGGAGGGGGGGGAAGGCTCCTTGGAAGGAGGCTGCTCCTTAGAAGGCGCGGGCCTTACATCTATAGACAAGGCCGGCGCCTTCTAAGAAGCAGGGGTGCTTCTGAGAAGCCTTCCCCCCTCCCGTCTGCCCCCCTCTGCGCGTTGCCGATGAACTGCAGAGCGAGGTCCCGAGCATCCGGCCGCACATCGAGACGTCGCCGGACACGAGGCAACCCGATGCCATCTCCCCCCGCTGCAGGGGCCGGAGGAGGAGGAGGAGGAGGAGGAGGAGGAGGAGGAGGAGGAGGAGGAGGAGGAGGGAGGAGGAGGAGGAGGAGGAGGAGGAGGAGGAGGAGGAGGAGGAGGAGGGAGGAGGAGGGAGGAGGAGGGAGGAGGGAGGAGAGAGGCGAGGGGGGAGCGCCCCTCGGGCACGGGCCGAGGCGGGCGAGGGCGGCCGGGCTTCGCGGGCTTCGCGGGCGCACACGGGTGCATCCCACCCAAGACAGCCCTGCTGGGGGGGGGATGCGCGCGTGTGACAACAACGCATATCTCTCTTCGCTGCGCTTCTCACTTTATGTGTGTTTCTCTCTCTCTCTCTCTTTCTCTGTGTCTCTCTCTCTCTCTCTCCATCTCTCTTTCTCTCTCTCTCTCTCTGTGCTGCTGTTGTTGCTGCTGCTGCTGTTGTTGTTGTTGTTGTTGGTGTTGTTGTTGTTGTTGTTGTTGTTGTTGTTGTTGTTGTTGTTGTTGTTGTTGTTGTTCTCTCTCTCTCTCTCTCACTCTCTTTCCGATCCGATCTATAACCTCCTCCTCCTCCTCTTGCGCACGCCCCGCCCTTGACATCCCAGCATCGGCACCCCGAAGGCGCCCTGGCATGCGTCCAACCCGCGATCTGCGTTCTCGGAGTGGCTTCCGGCTTCCGACGAGGGGAGGTGCGCGTGGGCGATGTGACCCAGAGTCGGGTATGCAGCCCCAGCTGGCTACCTGAAACTGTGAAGCCGGGAGCCAAACTATCTAGTGGACACCACATCGCAACCGATGAAACATAGTGCACAGAAGCATGGTGGTAGAGAGTGCCGCGCCACTGGCAACCAGAAGGCACAGAAACAGCATGAAAGCGCGAAAGGACAATCAAAGGACAGCAATGTCGTCCGATTGTCGCCAGTGGTTCCCAACACCACAGCAATCTTCTGCCTCGCCCATCTCCGCTTTCCTGCCTTGCCTCCGTGCGGCTACGGTGGGATTGCGTGGGGGAAGTATTACCCATGCTCTTGTCCAGGCTTTGTTGTCGCCCACCGCGGATCATGCTTTTTACCACTACGGTGGCGAAGCCGCTCCATCCGACATTATGGCCGACTTCTGACCATGCGAGATGCCTTCGCCCAAGAGTCAATGCATTGGCGCGCGCGTTGCAACCAACTGACAGTCAACTGACTGACTTCCGCACAAGCGAGGAACATAACATATGAGCGCGCAGGCTAACCCCACGGGACAAGATCAGCCCGCGCGACAAGCTTCCAGGGGAAAGCCACCGAGACGGAGACATCCCCAATTTCCGAGCTCACCCCCGAGATGGGCCACCAACGGATTAGGGAAAGCCTGTTCGAGCCCAGGGGAACTGAAAAAGTGACCTCTGTTACCATAACACCCCTGGCCCCCCACGGGACTCTGAACGCCCATGCGTCGAGACGCGTCGCGCCCTGGCGCGCCCCTCAGGAACTCTCCGGCGAGGCGAAGCAACGGGAAAAGCATGCGAAACAGATGGACCCCCGAACTACTTCCACGTCGCCCGCCATTCCCGCACTCGCGCCCAGGCCCAACCGTTCCTGCTCCGCGCGCCCCAGCAGAATGACAAGCCCCACCCCCAAGGAGCTGCCCCCCCCCCCCAACGGAGTGCGCCAGCGACTGAGCCAACGGCGCACGCGCGCCTCCAACAAAAACGGCGCGCAACCTGCGAGATTCCTCCCCCAGACCAGGGTCGGGTCCCAGACCCCCGACGTCATGATTTTTTCATGACGTCGACCCCAAGCGGTCTGGACCCATTCCCCAGGACCGGTTTTTCATCCAGAGTCGTTTTTTGACGGTCCCGAGGGCCGGTAAGGGCCCCCAGTGGCCGAAAATCATGAAAAACTTCCCGTCGTGATTTTTTCATGACTCGAGGGGGTCTGGGGTGGGAGGTCCCACCCCGGGGCTTGCCGCGGCCGCCCGGAAGAGCCGCCTCCCCCGGACCCGCTCCGGGGCCTCTCCGCCCTGCAGCCGACGGCCACCTCCTGCTTCCGCCGGCCGTGGCAGCAGGCGCAGACCCGCCTGGGTCCATCACGCCCGCGTCACCCGCGCACGCACGGCGGGGAGGGCCGCGGACGAGGGCGGGGACCGCCTCCGCTTCCTCCGCCTCCGCCTCCTCCTCCTCCTCCTCCTCCTCCTCCTCCTCCTCCTCCTCCGCTCCTCCGCTCCTTCGCTTCCTCCTCCTCCTCCTCCTCCTCCTCCGCCTCCTCCTCCTCCTCCTCCGCCTCCTCCTCCGCCCCCTCCTCCTCCTCCTCCGCGGCCACGCCGAGGGGGAGAACGACGACGGCGGCGACGGCGAGGACGACGGTCCTCTCTCCAGGCACACCTTTTGTAGGGCGCCCGCGGGAGCAAACATCCGCAGGGCACGCCGCGCGCGGTCCGCGACCCGCAACGCCTTCTGAGGGGGTGGGGTGGGGGGGGGAGGGCAGGGCGGCGCGCGAGGGGCCTGAGGGAGAAGGAGAGGGGGGGGGGCTGGATTGCGAAGGCGCACGACGCTGGGGTGCGCTTGCTCGCGGAGGCGCCAATCAAGAAGCAGCATCGTCACAACAGTTCACGCCTGCATCACGCTCGCGTCGTGGTGTGATTCCGCTTCTCATCCGAGGGGGCCGCGAGGGGGGCGACGGCGGGGACGAGAAGGACGGGGGGAGGGCGGCCGAGTAGCCGGGGGACGGGACGTGGAGGAAGGCGCGGAGAGGGGAGGGGCGGAGCAGCGAGACGAGGAGGGCGGGGCGGCAGCCCCAGCCGGCCGTGGCACCCACAGGGCAGTGTGGGGGACTCCACTGGCAAGTGGCGTATATGCTGAGAGCATCACTTCTACGAGCATCCTGGTGAC